TGGCGGAGTGATGTCACTGTTGCCCCCCCCCCCCCCCTCCTTGAGCGAGGCTCTTAAACCCCAGCTGTTTCAGGGACTGACTGACCCTGCTTTCTTAATTGTAAGTCATTTTGGATAAAAAGCGTCTGCAAAATGAAAGAATGTAATGCGGCTGTGATAAATATGGCACATCATGGCAGTCACGGTTAGAAATGCTTTTGCTTCGTCTCTGTGTAGCCTGTAAGCTTGACCTTTGACCCTCCACGTGCGGACTTGAAAGCCATTTCACGTTGGGACCTAATGTGTCATCCGGTGTTGGGAAAGGTCCCCCCACGGGAGTTTAATTGTAGAGTTTGATAACGTTGAAAAGTATCCTGGTAACGCAGTTTATCAAATGCTGAGCCACTTAAACGGAGGAGATGGACTCGGAGCTGGCAGTTTTAAGGCTGCCTGATAAGGGCACAGATGCTAATGCTGCATGAAGAGAAGCCTGGTGAGATGGTATCGCCGCTCGCTCAGCATCGCTGCTGATTAAGGTCACGGCGATGCAGGGCGCTTTTGCTGGCTAAGGCTGTGGCTGTTTCTCGCAGATGTTGCGGTTTGTGTCACTGTGCTCTTTCTTTCTTCTGAGACATTGTCTCTGCCAGTCAGGTTATGGGTTTCTCAGTGCTGGGCTGTAAACATGGCCGTAATCCATATGAGAGGCATGTTGTTTTGGGCGCTTTAAGCACATGTTTGGTGGATGTTATGTGTGACTGGGGGAGCAAATCAAACTTTCTTTTAAACTAATTTCTGAGACGCTTTCATGTCCCACGAGGGTGCGAGCTGTACCCTGTTGCCGGGGTTACTTTAGACCCCGAGGACTCCTGTGCGGCCCCTTGGTTTGTTCCCCTCTGGTTGGGAATTTTCTACAAAGGGAAAGCAAACAGCTCAGAGGCAATGAGGTGATCAGAAGCAGCGCTTTGATTTAATTTTGCTCCCACTTCCTTTCCTTGGTGAGTCTCCTTCATGGTACAGAAAAGGCTCAGTCTGGGGCATCGCTGTGACTCCTTGCCCCGCTGACTCTATTTCTGTGCCGTTGGGATCGAAGGTTACGTGTGGTTACTTGTGTTTAAGCTAACTGGGTTTAGGTATCGTCTAAAAATCGAGCTGATTTTGCCATTGCGGCCATCTGACGCAGAAGCCTGTCGTGCAGTCGTGACGCATCCTCCTCGCGCTGCTCGGTGAGGTTTGACTCAGAGCTTTAGCAGCTTGTTGAAGATGGAACTTTTAGTGACAGCAGTGGGAGCATGAAGATGTGATCGTCACCTCTGAGTGGCAGCTGATGGCTCACTTTTCAGTCACTGCCTTTGTGTCTGTGTGTGTGAGAGAGAGAGAGAGGGAGGGAGAGATAGAGAGAGATTTGACTTTGTGGGGATAACCTCTGATGAAATGACCTCCTGAAGATAGTAGCTCCTGAAAAAAAGTTTTTTGTTTTTTTTTGTAGGCCAAAAAACATGCCCTCGAGGTTCCAGCACTTTCTGTCGCATTACTGCTTGGGGTTGGATTAGGGAATTGTGAAGCACATCGATCCCACAGAGGCAGAAATGCACGTGTGGGGGGCGTTGGAGAACACCAGGGCTTTGTGGGCCGTGTTCTTTACACCCAGGGAACAGCTGATGTCCTC